TTCATGGGACAGTGCAAAAAGGGTCCAGAGACCTGGGTTTATACTGTGTGACCTCAAGCCATTAGGCACCCACTGTGATTTGAGGGTCCTGTGTCTGTTTTGAAAGAGATTTGGTGGCCAGCATCTGTTGTGTGATCCAGGAAGCTCAAAGATCCAGCCCTGCCTCGACCATGGGGCCTCCAGCAATATGGGACATCACACTTACTCTCTTCCAAGCACCAGAGAAAAGGGCCTGATTATCAGCTTCTGCGAGGTGTAGGGGAGTAAAGCCAAATATTTTCCAAATATTTCCCTGTTTCAGGGCTGCTGCTTGCTTTGGCCTCCAGCCAGGGAGGGGACTCTAGGGTAGGGGGTAGGAGGATGCCAAGGCCTGAGGCCAAGAGGGGCAAGGGGCAGGAGGGAGCCAGCTGGGCAGTGGGCCAGGACCCCTCTGGAGACTCAGTCTTATTTCTTAATCTTTCCATTCCTTTGTTGGCCAGAACAAAACGGCTGCCAGGAGAGGCAGGGGAAGCAGTGGGTGGGGCCGAGGAGATTGAGGAGTCCAAATAGTGATGATTCAATTAGAGCTCCTTTTCTTCAATGGGTGACCATTACATGTAGACACTGGGCCAGGCCACTTATAGGGATTATCTCACTGAAGCTTCCACCCTTCCCTGTGAGGAAGGCCTGCTGTGCCCATTTCACTGAGGTGGAGACTGAGGCGCAGAGAGGACAAGTGAGTGCCTGAAGACCACATGGCTTGTCAGTGGCAGGGCTCTCGGGGAACCCAGGTTGCTGACTCCTGGGAGAGGCAGCCCCTAGGTCTGACTCAGGTGGTGGGGAGGAGGGGAGAAGGCAGGAAGGTGGGGGAGGGGCAGGGTGGGAAGGCGCTGGCAGTCAGGACAGGCAGCTGTGAGGGTGCAGTAAGGAGAGGGGAGCCAGTGACCATCCCCAAAGCCCTGCCTGATGCGGGCCCTGCTTCCCCGTCCGGCCTCATCTCCCGTCACTGCCTGCTCTCCCTCTGTGCCCCAGCCATCCCAAACACAGCGCCCCTCTCCCCTGAGCACAAGCCTTTGCGTATGCTGTTCCCCATACCTAGAAGAAGGTTGTTCTCTCTACTGCCTGCCTAGAGAGCTCTTATTCATCCTTCAAATCCCAGCACAGCTCTTTCTCCCTGATGCCTAAAAAGAGTTAACTGCCTGCTCCCCGGGCTCCCTATTGAGTCGTGGTTTGTGCTCCCTGAGGAGTCACCTTTGTGCCCCAGGAGTGCTCAATAAATGTTGTCTCTAGTTCCATTTTATCACTGAATCTTTGAGGCAGGCAAAACAGGTTTTTTTTTGTTCTCACTCTCAATGCAAAGAAAAGGAGGGCAAGAGAGAGGGAGTGACTTCTGAGGTCACACACACATTCAGTGACACTGGTAGGCCTAGAAGCAGGGCTTCTCTGCACCACCCAGCTCCTGCCTGGCCTCCACCCCAGGGAGGTCTCATCCCTTCCAAACCCACCAGGGTCACCACAAGGATACCATAAGATAGGAGAGTGGCTCGCCCTAGTGTCCACCTCAGACACTGCCCGGGGAGCTGAGGAGCAGATGAGTGGCTCCCCCACCCACCTGCTCTGGCTCCTCTTCCCAGATAGGTCCCTCAGCCAGAGCACCCCGTGGCCCTATCACCCCCAGACTCCAAGATCTCACTCTCACCCCTGTCCTCTGCTCTCTGCCCACTGCAGTTCACTGTCATGTCCAGCTGGCTCTGCCTCCTGCACAGACCTCACAACACCCACTGCTCTTTGTCCCATGGCACAGTTCCTGGCCCGATATCTCAGAATCTCTTAGCCAGACAGTTGCCTCTTCCTCCCTGTTTAAAATCCAGTGGCTCCCCATTGCTATGGGTCAAGTCCCCCCAACTCCCCTGAGCACCTATCTCTAGCTGTGTTCCCCCAGGTACGGGTCAAGGCCCTGTACCTTGACACGTGCAGTTCCTTCCACGAGGAATGTCTTTTCTCCTGCTCTCTGCCTAAAAACACCTATTCACACTTCAGTGCATCAGTCAAAGGTGGAGTTGGTGGTTTCTGTGTCCTTTTAGACTCAGAGATTCCTGGGGGCCAAGGACTACACAGATTCATCTCTGGGCCCCATGCCCAACACAGGGCCTGGTGCAGAGTGGGCATGAGTAAAAGCAGATGACTAGAAAAGGGATGTACATTCTTACTTCTGTGAGGCCACCTCCCTCCCTTCATCCTGCTGGTACCTTTAGGAACCTATCAGACTAGGTTGCTATCCTCCTATTCCCAACAGTTCCCTCCCAGACCTGGTCTCTACTATCCCAAGAGGGACATCTTTATAATCCCAAAATAATACTCATAATTATAATAACAATAACCATTACTACTATTTATTGAATACTCACCATATAACTCATTATTTAATCCTCATAAAAACCCTAAGATACAGGTAGGTTCTTTTATTATCCCCATTTTACAGGTAAGGAAACCGAGGCTCCAAGAAGTTTAATCTCTTGCCTAAGGTCATATAACTTGTCAGCAATAGATACGGGGTTCAAAGCCAGGTCTGCCAGGATAGGCACTGTGCTGTCCAGCCTTCTCCCGCTTTCTATTATCTCCCCTCTTCAAAACTCTTAGAGTACCAGGCCTGGGTAGGGGGTGCAGTATGAGTGTGTGTTCAGTGAATTTACCCATTCAACAAACACCCCGGTAGCTCCCACCAGGCCTGTGCTGGGCAGTAGAGATGGACAGAGAGAACTCAGATGTAGCCTCTGCCTCCTTGGAGGAGATAAGAGCATTTGCTGCTAACAGTTTGGGCCTTGGAGTCAGCAGACTTGGGTCTGAGCCCCAGCTCCACCCCTAAATAACTGTGGGTGCTGGGTAACCCACTTTACTCACCCAGTCCAGTTCCAGGTCTTTCATCCTCTAAGTGGGGATGATAATGTCTACCTCAGAGGCTCACTGATAGTACATGAGATAATGTGTTCAAAGTAGCACATATACCAACCTGGGCAAGAGCAAGACCCCGTCTCTACAAAAAAATAGAAAAAGTAGCCCGGCATGGTAGCACATGCCTATATCCCAGCTACTTGGGAGGCTGAGGCAGGAGGATTGCTTAAGCCCAGGGGTTTAGGTTTAAGGTTGCTGTGAGCTATGATGATGCCACTGCACTCTAGCCCAAGAGACAGAGCAAAACCTTGTCTCAATCAATCAATCAATCAGTAAAAAGCAGCACATAACAACCAGCCCAGCATATAAGAAACAGCCAATAAATGGCAATAATACATATGATGACTAGAGCTTCTCAGGAACCCTAGGCCACGGTGAGATGTCATTCTCCAGAGCCATCTCTAGAACCTCCCCAGCCAGAGCTGAATAGTAATATTGATAATAATGCCTAATCTGCCCAATTAAACAATTCTTAAAGGGAAGTGTCCTTTATTAACCGTCTTTTACAGATGAGGTGACTGAGACAGAGGTTTGTTACTGAACCAAGTCACACAGCTAAGGGGTGGCTGAACTGGCACCTCCACTCAGCTACTTCCACACTGGGCAGAGCCCAGCCCCTGTCCCAGGGCCCTGGCCAGCCTACAGGGAGTCCAGGGACTCCTGGCTTCTAGATTCTAGTCCCAGCTGGGTGGGAAGTTAAAAGTGGGAGAAAGGAGCCAAAAAAGAGGGACACTTAGTTCCCTCCCAGAACAAGCCCAGGGCTGGGAGAAAACCAACAGTTACCAAGTGAGGCCCTGTGCTGGGCACTTCTCATTGGCTCCTTCCCACACCCATGTAGGGAAAGTGTAATATGTATGCCATAGACGAGGTTTCCAAGACTCAGAGAGGTTCATGACTCGTCCAAGGTCATACAGCTAGGAAAGCGGTAATACCGGGAGGGCAGAGTCTCTCTCCCCTCCCACTTTCAGCCCCAGACCTTCCCAGACACCCTCTTTTCTGATGAAACCTAGAGGCCCTGCCACTCCCTTTCCAGGAAGCCCAGTTGCCCAGGCCTCTCGCTGCTGATTGATACCTGCTTGGTACATAGCCCCTCACTCAGTTCAGAGGACCCAGAGCTCACTTTAACACAGCCATGGCCCCCAAGAAATTCATAGTCTAGTAAGCAATTAGGGACTCATGTTCACTGAACCCCTATTATGTTGGACACTTTATATCCATTAGCCATTTAATCTGATACAAAGCACACTGATAGGTGCATAGTAGATGCTCAATAAATATCTTTATTCATTCAGAAATATTCACTGAGCACCTACTATGTGCTACTATATCCTAGGTGCTAGAGATACAGCAATGAACAGATGAAAAAAAATCCCTTCCCTCAGGGGGCTTCCATGAATAAAAGAAAAAAATATATTTGTGTCTCATGAGTATTTTTTTTGAGACAGAGTCTCGCTTTGTTGCCCAGGCTAGAGTGAGTGCCGTGGCATCAGCCTAGTTTACGGCAACCTCAATCTCCTGGGCTCAAGCAATCCTCCGGCCTCAGCCTCCGAAGTAGCTGGGACTACAGGCATGCGCCACCATGCCTGGCTAATTTTTTCTATATATATTAGTTGGCCAATTAATTTCTTTCTATTTATAGTAGAGACGGGGTCTCGCTCTTGCTCAGGCTGGTTTCGAACTCCTGACCTCAAGCGATCTGCCCACCTCGGCCTCCCAGAGTGCTAGGATTACAGACATGAGCCACCGCACCCAGCCTCCCACAAGTATTAATATTCTCATTTTACAGATACGAAACTGAACAACCACCCAGCTGTAAGTGGCAGAATAAAGATCCTGTTCCAAGCCAGTCTGCCCCAAAGACCTTTGCATTTTATCATGTGACAAAAACATCACCACCTAGTATGTTAAGGGGCAAGAGAGGAGTTGGCCCTGTTTGTGGTAGGATCCTAACTTCAAGAGAGTGTCCTCTCTCAGCACTTTCTCCTTTACACCTCCCAGTGGCCTCAGAGACACAGGACGTGCATTAGAATCAGCTCATGTGGCAGCCATTAAGTCAAACCAGTACTCACCCAGAAGCAGCCATTGGGGTCAGACAGCCAGTCGGAGAGAGGCCATGGAGACATCACCAGTGGAGGAGCACATGGAAGCAAAGGACAGCAGTGAGACACAGAGCACAACCCGCAAACAAGGTCTTTGGGGCCCCCTCTTGAGCAGGGCCTGGCCAGCAGGGAACCTTGCCCTCCCTCTGCCTCTGGGGCAGGCACACTCCTAGTCAGTAACAATCTGATAATCTACCCTGAGCTCATCAGGCCTCCCAGTGCCCAGCCCACTAGAAAGTGGGACAAACATTAACTGAGCACCTACTATGTGCCGGGGGTTGAGGATACGGCCTAAAGAAGACAGACACGGTCCCTGCCCTTAGGGAGCCTCCAGTGCAGTGAGGAGGCAATCATGTAAATATTTCTGAATTATAACTGTGATGTGTGCTTCAAGGAGGAGACTTGAGAACTTGGGCAAATCCTGATTTACAGCTCTACTATTTGTGACATTCAGACCATTTTCTAAACTTCCCTATGCCTCATTTATTTATCTGTAAAATGGGGGGAATATTATTATAGTATCCACCTCACAGCATTGGTGTGGGAATTACATGGATTAATATATGTAAAACATCTGGAACAATGCTTGGCACACAGTAACCTAAGTATTAGCTACTATTATTACAGGGGGCTATAGGCATGGGTTTTGGAGGGACTTTGCATGGGTGAAGACACCACCTACCTGCCAGAGTTGCTATAGGGACTAAATGAGACAATGAGAGGTGAAATTGAACACCGAGCCGGTACATGGTAACTACTCAATAGATGGTGGAGTTATTCTTAGGGCTGCTCTCCAGCGTCTCAACAAGGGGCAGTCAGAAGTGTCCCCCCACCACAAACACACACCCAGAAGTGCAGCTTTGGGCTGAGAGAGAACCAGCGGCCGCATTCTCACCTGGTTCTACAGATGTCTCATCTCCTTTAACCAGCACAGTAATCAGGAAGTGGACAAAGGAGAAATTATCACCAGTCCCACTACAGATGAGGACAGCGAGGTGAAGGGATTCCTCTCTCTGTGTCATTGGATCTGTCACTTCACATCTCCAAGCCTAGTTAAGTGGCTGAGCCAGGATTCCAGCTCTCAACTGCCTGGATTTTGTTCTCCAGGCTTTCCCTTGATTTTTCCCCTCAGTCTCTGTGGTACGACTGCACAGCCCCAGACAAGCCTTTGAACTTCTCCAACCTCAGTCCCTTCATCTAAAATAGTTGTTGTCCAACAGCTAGCCCAGGATCCAAGCTGTTCCTGACCCAGCTCCTCCTTTACGGGCTTAGTCGCTGACACCCCAACCTCTCCTCTAACCCCTTACCTGGGCTCAGCCACTATCCCACAGATCAGGGAATGTCTGTGCTCACTTAAACCCATGTTTTCCAGATGGGGAAACTGAGGTACAAAATTGGCTACATACCCAAGGTTGCCTTGCAATGCCCAGCTCTTACACCTGGGCAGTAGTTGGGTGGGGCTGGCCCTCTGGGGAAACCCCTGGTGGGCCCTGACTTGCAAATTGCCCCCTCAGCCCAGGGAGCACCTAGCATAGGTGGCACAGCTGTTCCTCAGCTAAGGGAGCCTGAACATCCCAGAGCTCAGAGCTTGCTCCAGCAGGGATCAGGCAGTTCCACAGGTAAGGGCTGAGCAATGTGGGTACCTCGGTACCCATGGGGTGAAGGCTCTCCCACTTAGTCAAGTCTGGGCTTTAGAGTTGAACCTAATTTCAAATCCCAGCTCAGCTACTTTCTAACCGGGTAACTTTGGTCAAGTCTATTCAACTCCCTAAACTCCTACAAAACTGGGATAATGCTTCCCTCATGCGATTGGAAGGATTAAATGAATTAGTGCTGCACATTAAAGGCTTAGAACAGAATGCTGTGTACAGTAAGTACTTAAGAGGCAGTGGTTCTAATTATGATTAGAGAACACAGGCCAAGAACAGGACTTATGGGCCTATCAAACTCAACCTTGATCTTGCCCCATGGGACGAGGATGGGGGCTAAGTCCCAAACCACATCCTGAGGTTATAGTCATGGGTATTTGAAGATCTGTAGAGACTCTAGGTGCATCTCCCCTACCCATTTCACAGAAAGGGAAATTGAGACCCAGGGGAAAAAGCGATAGGCCCACAGACTAAAAAGGGGTAGAATCCTGCCCTCTTTAAAAAGCATCAGAGTCTTGGGCCCTGGGGAAGTTCTGAAGCCAGTCCCCACCAAGGGGACTGTCATACAGACCCACTCTACAAACCCCAAACAAATCTCAAGCCACCATGACAGTGAGCACTTTGTGAATATCCCATTCAGCTCTGTGACTGGCAAACCTACACATGGCACACAGTAGGTGCTCAGGAAAGGCTTGGGGAATGACCCAATGAAATTCATCTCTGGTTCTGTACCTCTGCTCAGGCTTCCTCTCCAGGGGTCTCTCCTTGCACACTCCCTTTTCACTCCCATCCCAGCCTCTGTCTCACCCTGCAGCCCAGGTCTCATCAGCTGGGCCAGGCTCTAGCCAGCAGAGCTCTGGGCCTCCGTGGGGCCTGCACAGCGTCAGCATCTTCCCAGCCAGACTGGGATGTTCCTGCCCAGGACAGCCAGCCAGGCTCCTGGCCAGGGTCCACTCTGCAGAGAGGCAGCTCCACCCACTGGTCTAGGAGCCCTGGGAGCTTCTGTTGGATCCTGAGGCCAACAAGAGGGAGGCCAGCCTGGTCTAGGTGGTGCAGGGATGGTCCAATCAGGAGACAGCCAGGTGTGGGGCCTCTTTGCCTCAATGAGTGCCACCCATACACCCAGGAACTCCACCCGTGTGCCATGTTGCTGGGACCTGGCAGGCCCTGTCCGACTGTTCTGTATACACAGGGGAAACCTCAGGGCTTCTCCACACCATTCCCTCCTTAAAACACTCCCACTGGCCTGCTCTCAGACTAGTTAACCATTCTGGTCACTGCATACTCATTGATTCACTTGATTCTGCTAATCTAAGCTCTGGATTATTGTCTGAGAGGAACCTAGGGTTCAGAGAGGTGAAGTGACTCATGCACGATCACACAGCAAGAAAGTGGCAGGGTCAGGATTCTAATCCAGTTCTGCTGCATCCAAAGCCTACAGGGCACTAGATGTCCCCATCCCCCTCTGCTCCCTTTGTTCCCAAACGTTCTGCTTCCTTCTGCAAAGTCTCCCTTCCCCCATTCATAGTTAGAATTGATAATTTCCACCTCACAACTGCTATAACACCTTATTTACAGTTATTTCCAAGGTGTCTGTCTCTCTGATGCTCAGGAGGGCCTTGAAGGCAGGGAATGACTCCAGTTAAGTGCTCCTTAGACCTGACAGTCTGTCACTTCTGTCACTATCTCCCCTTGTCTCATTTGCAAAAGTCCCACAGGCCTCTTCCTGCAGATCCCCTCCCCACCTTCCAGGCCTATAACTGGCGTGGAGGTGGGGAGCTTACTGCAGCTCCTAGGGCTCTCAGCCAGCGCTCTGGCCCCTCCCTGGCCCCTCCCTCTCCCCTTCAATAGCTCCAGACCTGACCCTGACTTGAATACCAGGCAGCTCTCACAGGGACTCCCAGTTGCCCTAAGCCAGCCCCAGCCAGGCTCTCTCCAAGCCTCCTCCTTCTAGAGAAAAGGGCTCCAGGGGCAGAAAAGGGGTGGATTTTGCCCTAGTCCAGGAATTTGAAGGGTCACTTTCTGCCACTCCCTCCCAAGAGAAGCTATGGGTCCTGTAATAACCCTCCCCAGCCCCACCGGGATAGTCCTCCCCTCCCCCTCTGGGGCAAGCTTGGGCTAGGGTGGGTCTGCACAGGTCCCCGCCTCCAGCTAACTGGAGGGGAGGGGTCGTGTCCTACCCCAAAGAGGTGGGCCCTGCTGGAAAGTGTACGTAAGGGTGAGACAACTCTCGGGGAAAGACAGAGACAGGGAGAGACTGGGCCACACAGAGAACAGATGTGAGAGATAAAGAGAACCCAGGGATGAGAGCGAGCAGGAACCCGAGCCGGACACAGAGACCCGGAAGACCAGAGACAGAGGGAAGTCCCCTAGACCAAGGCTGGCAGGGAGTATGTGGGGCTGGGGCGGTGACCCGAGGGCCACCCTGGCGGGCAGAGCCGGCGCCCCAGCCCGCGGGTCCCTGGGTCCGGAAACTCAAAGTCACTTATGTAAGGGCCGGAGCTGGGCGCGGGGCTCCAGGCCGGGTTGCCCCCTCCCGCTGCGCGCCGCCCGCCCGCCGGCTCCGGCTGGCGCTGCGGCGGCCCGAGCAGAAGCATGCGGGGCCGGGCAGGGCAGGGTTGGGGGGCGGCCTGGGCTGCGCCGCTCTGCAGAAACCCGCCCGCGGGGACCGAACCCAGGACCCCTACCCTAGACAGACAGGACCACCAGGACCTGGACGTGTCTAGCTCTGGACCCGAGATCCCGGACCCCCTCTTCTGACGCCTGTGCCCCTCCCCGCACCCTGAACTTCCAGACGTTCAGGCCCCTTTGAACCCCAAGTTCGGACCCTGGAATCCGGGACCCCTAGACCCCCCTCTGGACCCTTAGACCCCGGTCTACCCTCTCCTGGGACGGTCCGGGCCCTTGGGGGTGGCTTCTTCTGCCCCCTCACCCCGTCCCTCCCGGGCACCAGGGGCACCCCCCAGGCGGTCACCCCCCGGGCGGCCCAAGCTCACCTGGGCTGGACAGGGCGGGACCTGGCCAGGCCGGGCCGGGCCGCGCTCTAGCTCTCCGCCGCTCTCGCCCTTTAAGAGGTTCCGGCCACTTTGCCCCGGCGGGGGCCTCCACCTGCACTGACAGGGCAACTCTAATGTGAGGCCCCGCCCCCGGCCCGGGAGGCTCTCCGGTTGGTGCAGGCAACTGCCAATCAGTGGGGCGCGGGGAGGACGGGGCAAAGAAGTGAGAGCGCCGCAACCGGGAAGGGGCGGGGGCTGCAGGTGCGGCCTGGTCTGGCGGGGACGCGTAGCGGGGGCAGCCCTTGGTAGACCCAAGGGGTCAGGGGGGGGAAGGGCAGGGAGTTCCTGGATTGACTGGTGTGGTGTCAGACGTCATGTGGCAAAAGTATGCTGCAATTTGCCACGTGGTGCTGCCCCTAAGGGTACTTGTAGGAACAGGGGTTGGTCATAGGGGATCTAGGGAAGTGCCCTGGCCAGACTCACCTGGATCACTTGTCCCACCACTTCGTCCAGTATGACCTTGAACAAGTCACTTCTCTGTATCTGAGTTTCCTCAACTGTAAATCTTACAATGTCTTCGTGAGAATTAGTGATATTCCATGTTAAATGTAAAGCACAGGTCTGGTATTCACACAGCAGGCATTCAGTAAATGTGGGTTCTGGTTCCTCTCATGCCCATCTTGCCACTCTTCTCAGTGACTTTCCCGCTCCTGATGGTCCATCCCATCAGCTCCATAAGGTGCTCACATGGTCACTGGTCCAGGACCCCTCCCGCTCCATCTCATTTCAGACTTGTGCTGGCCCTCTTAGGGCCAATGTCAGGAAGCCACCACCTCCCAGGTGGCTCTTTCATTTTAAAATTATCCTGAGACTTCAAAAACTCTTCCTCAGATTAAGGATAAATCTGCCCTTCAGGACTTCTGCCCGAAGAGAAAATGCCTAATCCCTCTTCCATGTAGAGGAATCACAGAATCATAGGAAGATAGAATATTCCAGGCTGGAGAACTATGGAGAATGAATCCTTTCTTTGGACAAATGGGGAAAACTGAGTCTCACTGAGAACAAGTGACTTCCTATGAAGTCCTATGAGTTTAGTGATCTTCCTAATAAATAAGCTAATGAGACTGCCTGGTTGCAACCCCCTAAGCATTGCCACTTACTAGCTGTGTTACTTTGTGCAAGCTGCTAATTCTCTCCAAAAAGGTTTCCTCCTTTGCCAAATGAGGTTAATAAAGTATTTCTCTCAAGGGTTGTTGCAAGAATTGAATGAAGTCATCCATGTAATGTGCTAGTCTCAGGTTAAGCATCCACTAAGTGTTAGCATTTATTATGATTATTGATGTTATTGTTCTATCAATACATAAATGAATTAAAAGTCATAGATTCATTTACTGCCCCCCAAATTCACTGAGGCGGTCTCTGAGTCAAGGTCCTGTTTTATGCTTCAAGGCCCTGGTCCCAGCCTTCGAGGAGCCCATAGTCTAGTAGAAGAGGATCAGACTGGGCCCCTAGACCTAGGGATATTCTCTGATAGACAGGGGCTCCAACACACCACGGAAACTTTGGTCCTTTGACTGGAAATCTGGACACGTGAGACTCTTTCAGTCCCTAGCCATGTCAACCCCATGGGGAAGCTTGGCAGACACACAACCACACTCCCAAGCACATTGACATACCTTTCACTTGCCTGCATACTCACCTGCCTACCAGGCAATATGGCCTAGTGGTCATGGGTTAGGAATTTGGAAGCAGTTGATCCTGGTCTCTGCACTTAACAGCTTTGTGCTTTTGGAGGAGCCACTTCCCCTCTGGGGTAAAATGGGATTAATAATACTACCAACTTTATAGACAGCTGTTGTGGTGATTAAATGAGAGTATGTGAAAATATATATGCAAATACTCAATAATGGATCTAGTGTTATTTTGTAATTGCTCCCACAATTGTTCACACACCCAGGAGAGAGCAGGCTGTGAACTCCTTGATTTGGCCTCTGCAAACAGTGGCTCCTCCCCCCACCCCACCCTCATCCCAGACTCAATCAAAGGGTAGAGAAGAGGAAAAGCCCAGCAGCAGTCAGTGGACTGGACTATTTATTCTAAAGAGCTGCTGTAGGCCCTGCCCCCTCCCTGTTGGGGCAGGCACGTGGCTCCAGCTCTGTTGGGCTGAGCTGCCTTTGGGTGACTCAGCAGTGCCAGCGCCTGCCCCAGCCTGATAAGTGTGTGTGTGTGTGTGTGTGTATGCTGCGGGTGGCCAGGGAGGGCTCTGTGTTTCCGAGTTTGCGCATGGAAAGTACATCTGGGAATGTGTTTGTGATCTTGTGTGTCTCCTGTCTCTGTGTATTTGTCTGTGTGTGTGTGGTGGGGGGTGTGCATTGGTGCTTCGGACAGCATGCCTTTTTTGTGAGTTTGTATAGAGGGTATAACACTGTGTCTGTCTGTCTATGTGTCCTATTAACCAGTTGTCCCTGGGCCCCAGGCTAGAGAGCTCTGCCCTGCCCCCAGGGCCTCTCCAGCCAGGCGCTTTTGTATGTTTCTTATTGAGGTGACTTGCACACTTGTGTGGATGAAGGTGGCCTTGTCAGTCACTGCATGGGGGGGCTGTTACTGCCCGAACATCAAGTGCCCTGCCCCACTGCCTCAGCCTGTGAAGTCTCAGTCCCCTCCTTCCCCAGACTGCAGGGAGCAACCTCCTGAAGCAGCTGCTCACATTCTCTCCTTTCATCTCATTGAAGCCTTACAGCCAAAAATGTTCTGAAGGGGTCTGAGGCTCAGAGAACTGAAGTGACAGCCAAAGATCACACAGCTAAGTTACAGAGCGTGTGAAGATGACAGGCAGGGGGCAGCTTTCCTCCCCAGGCTGCACGCCCAGTTGGCTGGGGCCTGTTGGAGACTGATAAACTCGGGGTGCAGAGGAAGGAACCTGTTTGCATCTCCCCTCCTCCCCTGAGAAGGCCTGGGCCTCTGGCCGACTCCTTATCCTGCCAGAGCCTGGGCACGGCCACCAGCTTCAAATGGGCTTGAGCTGGGTGATAAAGAGGCCAGGGCACAGAGGGGGGATGGGGGCGGAGGGTGCATGTACGGGAGCATCTGTGTCCTCAGCAGAACTTTATTGAGCACATTAGTAAAAGCTGGCCAATACCCAGCTCAGTCTAAGTGGGAGGAGAGTCACAAGACCAAGCCACAAGCTATGGTGGAGCGGGAGGGGGAGAAGCCCAGGCCTGAAGCAGAGGGTGTGGCAGTTGCAGGTAAGAATCCCAACTCCTCCACGGTAGAGGGTATACGACCTCTCCCAGCCTGTCTCCCCTCACAAGGCCTGCCTTTCCCAGCCCCGAGACACTAGAAGGGAAAGCCATTTGTAAACTGTGAGTTGCTCTCCATCCATAACAGATGTTCCTTCTGTGATTCACGGCCTCCTATGAGGAAGGCCCTAACACACACAGCTGTGTACCCACAGCCCAGATAGGGGAAAGCGATTCCATTTGAGGCATTAGGGAAGACTGCCTGGAGGAGGTGACCTCCCAGCCAAACTTTTAAGTATTAGCCACAGCCACTGTGGTTAATGCCTGTAATCCTAGCCCTTTGGGAAGTTGAGGGGAGGCGGGAGGATTGCTTGAGGCTAGGACTTCAAGACCAGCCTGGGCAACATAGTGAGACCTCATCTCTATAAAACAAACAAACAAAAAAGTTAGCCAGATGTGGTGGTGTGTACCTGTAGTCACAGCTACTCAAAAGGCTGAGGCAGGAGGATTGCTTGAGCCCAGGAGTTTGAGGTTGCAGTGAATTGCAATCAAGTCTCTGCCCTTTAGCCCACTCTAGCCCCAGCAACAGAGAAAAAAAAAAAGGATGCATGTACTACATGGAAATGGGAGAGGGCATTGCAGGTGGAAGAACAGCCTGCACAAAGGCTTGGAGGCAGCATAGTGAAGGTGTACTCTGAGAATAAAAAATGGTCTGGTATATTTGAAGCACAGAGTGAATCATGAGACAAAATTGTGGAAGGTCTGGAATAGCAGGCTAAGATACGGAGAGACAGACATTTGGGGGTGGTCAGCAAGTATGTCTTTGAGATAGAGGCAGCTATGCTCTAGCTGGGGTGTGGCAGTCATTTGGGGGAGAGGTGAGGGGAGGGGAAGAATTGGTGGGGTCAGGGACCCCCTCCCCAAGAGGATGCATTTGAAATTTGGGGCAGATCCCCAGGTGACATCGAGGTAGGCGGAAGCTTCAGAGCCCTTCCAAGGAAGGGACGAGGGTTGGTAGGCATGGAGAAAAAGCCAAGTCGGACACTCTAGCCCAGGGAGGGACCTGTGCTTGGGCACAGAGGATGCCCACCAATGGACATTTAAGTGCTCTGAAAAGCCCCACTGCCCAGGAGTTGCTCTGGGTTGCTGCAGCGCGGGGCGGGGCCCAATCCTGCCAGCAGAACCCCTTCCGGGGGCGGTGCCATCTCCAGAAGGCCCTGTTG